GTGGGGCGGGGCAGGGCGGCGTAGGACGAGGCGCGGTGCCGGCCAGGGCGGCTAATTGTTTGCGGGAGCCAAACATGTACACACGGGGATGAGCACACTGCTTTGAATGCCCACCAGGCCCGACCTGCCTGGCCCTGGAGACACAAGACGCCCCGCCACACCCTGATGGTCTCAACTCAGCGGCCACCCGCACCCCTGCAGCAGGCTCTTGATGTGCTTTTTGAGCAACCTTCCTCCACTTTCCAAAATAGTTTTTGGAATTTTGATGATGCACGCCCCGTGCTTTTGAGTATTGTGCATAAAATTGTTGCTTTGAAGCACGAATGATCAGCGGGAAGGGGGTCACCCCCTTCGGCCCATGATACCAGCCTGAGATGGAGTAAGTTTCGGATACAAAACCCTTGCAACTTCAGCCCGGCCGTACATTACTACGCCCCTGCGCATTGTTTGCTGCGAAATTTTCAAACTCCGGTTGAGTTGTCAAATTACAACAACTGAAATTTATAGATGTGGACAGGCTGCAAAGCGCTCCTGCTGCACTCTGCCCCCCTCCCCCACCCTATCTCCCCAGCGCTGGCTCGCCGCGCGGTTCCAGCCCAGTTCACAAGTTTTTCCAATTTCTCCGGGCCGGCTCCAACGCGCCCCGCCCAGCTCGGTCTGCCCAGCCCAGGTCTGCCTGCCCACAACGAACCTCTCCAGCAGCACCGTGTTTTGTTTGGCTGGCTGCACTCTGCTCCTGCTGCCCCTTCCCACTGTCTTCACCTGCTCTCCGACACGCGGGCCCAAGCCAAGTCCTTTGGGTTTAAGAAAAGCTCTTCGCCGCTTTTAGTGCATCACAATTGTGCAGGAAGAGGGGTTGAGATTGCAAGCGCGGGTGAATGACTGCCGAGCGCCGGGGTGGTTGGCGCGGGGGGCAGCGAGACTCCCCTTACCGAGCCCTTTTAACGAGCTGCTAGATTAATGGGCTCCTCGCATTTCACCTGCAGCTCGCCGCACCACGGCGCGCGCGCGCGGCCGGACAAAACTGCCTCGGTAGATAAATTAGGTAAACTACTTTTTTTCCACCAACCCCCTTTGGCTGCCGCTTCACTCTTTATCCGCAGAAACCGTCGGGTCGTGTAAGTGCATTTTCTCGTTTGGCTCGGCCACAGTCCACAGTATAAGCCGCCGACACGCCCTGGCGGCGCCAGCAGCCGGCCGGCCAGGCGGTGATTAGGGGGAGCAGGCTGCAAGGGTACCCGAATGTTGTACCGGCTACCTTGTAGACGATATTTAAAGGTACCTTTGGTAGGTACCTTATTAAAGGTACCTTATTGTACAAGATACCTACCTAGTAGAATATGTATCAATGCCAATGTAGAGGACGGTCCAGTTGGCAGTTAGAGCCCCTAAACAAGCATCTCATTAGAAAATGCACAATAGAACACTACGCGCGCACTCTTAACCGCTAGGGTTTGTTTTGGAGGACTAATAATTTTCCCATGAAAAGATGAATTTAGTGCACATCTAGGCAAAATGCAATGTTTATAAGAGGCAAACGGCAATTTAGAGGTGGTAACGAAGTGCAAACAATGCATCTTTTAAGTCACAAAAAGAAAATGTCCGTTCCGATTTAGTGTGCGTGCGAACAAAGAAAGAAGTCTCACAAACTGTTTTGCGGCACTCAGCACACCGGCACAGCAAGAGGAGCAGCTTTAGCCAACAGTGTACCCGGCCAGTGGCCCCGACCCAGCCCAGGTCCCCGCGGGCGCAAGAGGCGGGCCACCTCAGCCTGTCGCGCTGCCAAGTCAGAGTCACTCCCCCCTGAATCATCTGGTCTTCCGCTTACCAGCCCGCCGCCGGCCCCGGGACGGCCGGGCCGCTGCACCGGTGTGCTCTTTAGCGGCCAGTGGCCCCGAGGCCCCGCCCCCGACCGCACCCCCCGGGGGTGGCGTGGCCATAACGCGCCATTATTAATATTTTCTTGTCTGGTTGCCCTTCTCTATGCACGCCGACCAACGGCGGGAAGGATCTCGCGTTGCTCGTTTGAGTGCTGCTCTGCCCGGAGTCAGCTCGGGAGTACTATACTCAGATATCAACCGCATTCTTATATTGGAAATACTTGTTTAATTGCTACATTAGAACGAGTGCCACACCCTGCTGGGTATGACCACTTGTTCAGCTGCCTGTTCAAGGTGGATTCCCTGAATACAAACGAGTTGTCGATCCCGGTCTCTTTGTTGTAAAGTAGAGACGTTTTTTGTTGTTGTAGCGTAGTGGCAGTATTGAATTTCACCCGTCTGATGAGTTTCGGCCAGTTCCCGTGGTTTTCTGCATTTTCGCGTAATCTGAACCGACATGTGTTCTCTCTGTTCTCGGTGCAGCAGGGCGAGACGGTGGAGCGGCTCGGACAACGAGGCAGGGCCGGTGGCGGGCCCGGCGGGGGCGGCGGCGTTGGCGGGGGCG